AATTACTTCTTCAAAGCCATCCACCGGTCTTTTCAACTAGGATATTATCCCAGTAACTGACTTTTAGATCTTTCTTTGGAAATTACTAATCACTCGTATAGTTCGCGGCCAAACCCACAGTCACGCTAGACAAGTGCAGATCCTCATTCCGTATTTTTTAGGCTGCCGAGCAGAAATCATTTTTGTATGGCTACCCGAAATATATTAATTTACCGATTACCTGGATATATGGTTAATAATTACCTGAGTGAAGATCTACAAGTTATCGCTATTAACTTATTTATCATTTATCGTGTAAGGGCTACAAGGGCAGGCCCAATTTATACGAAGAGAATTAGCATTATTTATACAGAAAAACAAGTCTTATTATATAGAATAAAGTGATAATGGTATATAGATACTCAATTAGAGCACTTGATAGAACTTTAAATTTAAAAAATCATAATTTGGTAAACTTTATTCAGAATTATAAGAAAATTATGATAAATAAGGTATACTCGTAGAGTTTACTTATTATACAAAATTTACTGTATATTTGTAGTTGTAAAAGAAGAGAATATATTAAGCTTACATGTGTTGTCAAACTTTGGATTGGTTAGCATAACACTAACATTAAATTTTAATTTAAAGCTTTTAAGAGGAACTGCTATTCTTGCTAATATATCCAATTATTATCGCAATCTATCATTGATTATAGAATTTAATTATCACGCCAACAACTTCTTTGATTTTAAGAATTTTTTTAATATGAATAAATAATGATACTTTATATAATCAAATACTTTGACTCGATTTGGGAAAATCAAGTATTAAAAAAACTATCAGTCGCTTCATATGCACTATGATGTTAGTACAAAAAAAATATGCTAAAGAATTTGTGTTACTATGCCAATCAAAATAAATTTAACTATTTCCTTATAAATATGATGGTTTTTTCTTTTAACATTTTTTCGTGGCAAAGATGAGTGATCCTGATGGTAAGTATTATTAAATGACTTTCTGCATAAAAAAAATTTTGATTAGATTATTAATTTATTATTTATATATAATAAATTAGTACCTGAAAGACCAAAATATAGGGCAGGTCGTAAACCAACTGCTGTTAAGATTTATACCGTAAACCATGAGTCCAGGTCACTATGACTATCCGTGAAAAATTTCCATGGTTATTTAGTTAATCAAAATATATTAAATATATATCTATATATTTTAATAGATATTTAGTTGTAGAGAACGTACCAGCGTTAGGTTTAAGTAAAGAATTATTAGAACTTTTTTCTCTTTATGGAGCCATTGAAGAGTGAGTTTTCTTTTTTATACATATAAACTTTTTTTATAAACTTTTTTAAATTTTTCGTAATAATTTTTTTTGAATTTTTAGATATCGGTATTTGGATGATTATCCATGTGAAAAATTTACAGATGTATATTGGATAAAATTTCAAACAATTGCTGAAGCTAGGTAATCTTTAAAAAAAATAATATATACATATTATATAATCTTTAAAAAAAATTTACGTAAACTTATTTCAATTATATGCTTTAGAGTAGCAAAGAGAAAAGTTGATGATCACTCTTTCTTTAGTTCTTATTTAAGAGTACGTTACGGACCTGAATATGAATCTATCGAGGATACACGGCAAAAATTACAGGATAGACGTAATGTTGTTGCGATTAAAACTCGTGAACATACTGATGAAAATAAAGGTATATACTGTATTAAAAAATATTTATGAAATTCATTAAAGTTAAAAAATTAAATAAAGAGCTAATAAAATAATTTTAGATGCTAAATCAACAACACCTAATACTACCACCTTTCCGTCAGCATATTCTACGACAGAATCCATATCATCATCTTCATTACCACCCGTAAACGTTTATCAACAAATTTACGATAATACTAATTATACGTATTCGGATTACTATTATTCATATCCTTATTCAATGTATTATAGGTAAGTATATGTTAAAAAAGAATAAGTAAATACAAACTTTTTAAACATGAGATTCATTTTCTACATGAATATAGTCAAGAGCCACAACGTAACCCAGAACCACCAATACCAGGTGTCGATTATCAACATAACCAAGAACCACCAATACCAGGTATCGATTACGAATCCACAAGCTTTGCTACAAAATCATATCCTCAACCCTATGTAAGATTTAAATTATATTAATGTTTATTTCAATATGAGTAATAATTTGTTAATAAAGTTTTTAATACTGAAATATAGGATTCACAATTATCCACAATTCTTTCAATACGGCAACGATTAAAAGAAGCTTCAACATTACCACAAAATAATGAAAGTAATATGCAATCAGAAGAATCAAAATCAAAAACAACATCAGAAAGATCGTTATCTATTTCAGAGCCTAAGAAACGTCGAAGAATTTAAAATATATATTTTATGTTTTTAAGATTATTTCTTTAACGTTAATTTAGTATGTAGTATATAGTTACAAACATTTTTCAAACTTTGTACTAAAATGTAAATTAAACACGAATATTGAAAGCAACCAATTTTGGAGTTTGTCAACGCCGGGAAAGATTTTTTCTAATAGCGGTGAAAAATGGAATACGTAACAAACATTAACAACATTAAAAAAAAACTTTAACACGAAAATATAATTATTATTAACAACATTAAAAAAATAAACTTTTAACATGAAAATATAATTATTATTAACAACATTAAAAAAATAAACTTTAACACGAAAATATAATTATTATTTGCATAAGTCTTCCTTTTATTACTATTATAAAATTTTTTAATTTTTAAATTTTTTTTAAAATTTGATATTTTTTTTTTTTAAAATTCAAAAAAAAAACTTGATTGTATGTGGGATTATTAAAATTTACATATAAGGAGAAAGGCTTATTAAAATCGTAATTGGTTGTGTTAAAAAAAAATAAAAATATATGCATATGGGGGATATAAAAAGTTTTTTTTTACAATTAAACAAATTTACAGTTGCTTTTTTTTTTTTTTAGAAAAAAAAAATAAAAATAGAGAAATTTACATAGAATAAAGAATATCGTCCATGTTAAAAGACGAGTTCTTCGAGTTTTGCATGTTAATTGATTTGCGCATCTTCCATGCCAAAATGGTAGGGATTTACGCGCCATAAATTAAAAAGAAAAGTTTGAGTACCCAAAAAAGAAAAAAAAAAAAAAAAAGATCTATTTGATATTTTAACGTTGCGTCGACCTCTTTTTTCTTTTTTATTAACACAAAGCAACTCTTTCTTCCCACTTCTTTTCTTTTTTTTTATCCTTTTTTTTTCTCTTTATTTTCACCAACACATTGGATCCTCCTTTTAATTAATTTCGAACTTTTTTCTCAAATTTTTAAACTTAATTATTTGTTTTTGGAGATTCCGGAATTAGCTGTGGTGGGTCTGATTGTTTGTTTGGTAGAAGATTTTTGAGATTTGTTATGTAACGAGGAGAAAATCAAAAGAGGAGAAATAAACTAGTAAAAGTAGTAACGGGAATACCCGTAACTTTTACCAATTCAAAGTAAAAATTCGTTAAAACCCAGTATAGAAAATACCGAAAAATGGAGTCCAAGTCATTAATTAAAAAGAAGATACAACATGTAGAAAAATGAATTACACATGAGTATTCACATGTTTTGCATTATGTGAAGGCTACGCCAGGGTAGACTCGACTATCACATGCGTGACCCTATACGGATCAATGTTCGAAGCAGGACGTCGATCTTCCAGGTACCCTTTACCTTCAGCAGCAACATGGCGCGGTATACGAATTGATGCACCGCGATTTGCAACCCCAAATGAAAATTGAGATATATGACCAGTCTCGTGACGACCTGTTAGACGTTGATCATTATCCTCGCCATAAACGGCTATGTGTTCTGCATGTCTCGTTGACATTTTATCTATAGCATCATATATAGCTTTTATTCCACCTTCTTCACGCATTGCTTGTGTTGAATAATTCGTGTGACAACCTGCTCCATTCCAGTTACCTTTAATAGGTTTAGGATGGAACGAGACGACGGCGCCGAAATCTTCGGCAACACGTTTCAGCAGAAACCTTGCCATCCATAAATGGTCTCGCATATCGATTCCTTCACAGGGACCAACTTGGAATTCCCATTGTCCTAAAAAAATAATAAAATAAAATAATAATAGGATGAATTAATATATATATAATATATATAAATAAATAAAAGTAAATTAATATTAATATATAATATATAATATAATATAAAATGTATATATATGATGTATATATACATTTAATAATAATAATAATAATAATAATATTATTATTATTATTATTATTATTATTATTATTATTATTATATTAATAATTATATAATAATTATATAATAATTACCAGGCATGACTTCAGCGTTGACGCCCGAAATTGTAACACCAGCATAAAGACAGGCACGATAGTGAGCTTCGACAATATCACGTCCAAATGCTACGTTAGCACCAACGGAACAATAATAAGGACCCTGAGGACCAGGGAAACCCCCTTTAGGCCAACCAAGAACATTAGTTTCTAAGTCGAAGAGGGTATATTCTTGTTCAATGCCAAACCAAGGATGACAATCAGTGTAGGTTTGCATGATTTTAGTACAGCAATGACGATAATTCGTTCTATTAGGAGTTCCATCATTATTGTAACATTCACAAAGGACTAAGATATTATCTCCACGTCTGAAAGGATCTTTGAAAATAGCAGCAGGACGAAGCAAAACATCAGAGTTGTCGCCGGGAGCTTGATTGGTAGAAGAACCATCAAAATTCCATTCAGGCAATTGAGAAACGTCAGTAGGTTTTTGGTCGAGAGTTCTGGTCTTTGCACGGAGGCCTCCGTCGCCGTCGATCCAAATGTATTCGGCTTGGACTTTGCCTCCTTGGTCGAGTTCAAGGTATTTAGCAAGGGTTTCAGTGTTGGATTTGTTACTGATAGACATTGTCATAAAAAAATTACTCTTAGTGAAAAGGTTAATTTGTGTTTCGTTAAAAAGTCGTTACAAAAACTAAATCCAGAAATATACTGGGAAATGAGAGTTGGCAAAAAAATAAAGTGTATTAAAAAAAAAAATAGCAGTTGTTGTTAAAAAAAAAGCAGTTGTAAAATTGTTTGAAGAATCTGACAAAGGAAAGTAAAGTGGGTTTATATACGAAAAGGTAAACTATTAAATTTATTATTGACGCGTGATCTTTTAAAAAATTTTTTTTTTTTTTTTTTTTTTTTTTTTAGAACGTTAAAAAATTGTATATTGAAAAAATGCAAATGGTCGGACAAATATTATCGATAAAGTTTGATAAACCCCAGTAGTATAAAAATTGTATAAATTATAAAATAAAAAAATTTTTTTTTTTTTTTTATCATTAAATCATTAATCATTTAAAAATCGATTGATGTATACTATTTTTGGATAATTGTTCTCCTGAAACCTATGACAGATCCGGAAAATTTTGTATAAATAAATGCATTTCCTGATTGATATCGTTATTCCCTTAATAATTAATACTTCTAAAATATTAGTTAAAACAAGAAAAATTTTTTTTATTAACCTTTTTAGGTTTAACTTAATTTTTTTGACTATAACCTTAATAATATTAGGATTGTCAACAGTTGTACATAGTTGTACATGTAACCTTGATAAGAGCATTTTAATATTTTTAAGGAAATTTATAGCTTATCTAGAGTTTAACAACCGGAAGTGAAGCGGTAAACAACGGAAAATAAGGTTACTCGAACTTTTTTTTTTTGATTGTACAGATTTACAGATTCATCAAAAGAATCACAAGAAAGGAAATAGTATCTGATAAATCAATCATCTATTTTTTTTTTTTTTTTTCTTTATTTGTTTTTGTTTTTGTTTTTCATAATTTTTTTTTAATGTCAGTAAATTCAAAACTTTCGATTACAATATATGCTCCCCGAACATAGTTAATTGTTTTGAATACGGGGTGCATATATTTCTAAATAGATCTAAAATCTAACAAGTGTGCATTTTATTATTCAAAAGAAGGTTATCGTTATGTAAATAGAATAAAGTACAATACAGAAATTGAAATGAATGGAAATGAATGCAAAACGCCAACTTATGTAGCACAAAGTTTATGCCATTAACAAGTTCGTATTCTCTGTATGACACAACACTACGCGTTATAATTGGCAAACATTTAAGGCAAGTTCGGTTACATTCAAAGAAAGTACTTGCCCTAAACAGCCAATAATCGATAAACCAAGATGGCGCAGTTGGATTGGAGATTGGCTGTTAAAGCGTGTACGTACGTACGGTAAATAATCATTTTTGAACAAATTATACAAGCTATTTTTATGATATATAAATTCGCGATTCGCGTCGAATTTGCTGACTAATATAGTGACGCTAACATAAATTTAAGTTTAACAAGTGTTAACGTTAAAGGATCTTTTATTTTTCTTTTGTCTTACGTGTTATAATCAAGATAACGCATGATCATCTTTATCTCTTTGAATCTCTTTGACATTGAGGCTGAAGGTTTTACAAGAAATTCAGGATAATCCTGATTTTTATGATCTAGTTTCAGCCTCGTTTGGCGTCGGTTAAATTACTTGTTACCTGTGTGTGACGATTCTAAGTTACATGAACCTACTTACTTACGTACGTACCTACTTGCGTACTAGTACAGTACATAACAGATAAACATTCTAAACTTCTTTTGTGATCATTTCTGAGATCAATAAAACAAAGATAAATATGTACAAGATGTGAATGTCCTAAAAAGGTGTTATGATATTTATATTAATCATCCCAATTTGTAATTTATTTAAATACGCGTGTAAACTTAAAAAATTCGCGTGACGCGCCTTACTATAATTAACATTTGTGAAACAACGCGGATGGCTTTGATGTCTTTAATGACTTAATGACTTTAATGACTTTAATATAAACAATGACCATTACCGTGGATCAATCCGATACAAAGTAAATTTCAAATTTATTTTTAGCTTGTGTCGAAAAAATTTTTAATCAATGGCTTGTTTTTTTAATTATTCCCTAATAAGGATAACAAAATACATATGTCTATATCAGGTGACTATTTATGCTATCTTTACTTCTTTAACACGCTAGAATGTATAATGTATAGAAATGTATACCAATCAAAAATTAACTTTTATTCATGCTTTATCTTAATACTTATCAGGAAATCTAAATGAAATTTCTTGTTCTATTCCTCAAATAGTTCTTCTTTTAAACCGTTTGTGTTTCCCTTAAATTATTCTGGAATAGCATTTATTCAATTATGTCTTACAATTATACCCCCATTTTTGTTTTAGGAACTATCTCCGATATGAACCTATGAACCGGTAGACATGAAAATCTTCAAAATAGTCATAATTATCTTTTAATATCAT